ATACGTGGGCCCACGTGTAATGGAATGGTACGTGGCCCCCCAGACGACAGACCTCTGGAGGGAAAACAACACACAGACACAATCAATCGTCGATTCCCCAGAAAATATGGGAAACTATAGGAAGCGGGGGGGAAGACAAAAACCCAGAAAACATGGGAAAATATGGGGAACATGTTTATTTGTGTGTATCTATTTGTGTGTCCCAGGGCCCCTTCCAGACCCTCCCTCGTCAAGTCGCCAGCCCTCCCCTGGGGGCCGCGGCACCGCCCGCGGCCACCCGCCGCCTCCGCAGAGGGGCCTCTCACCACGGCAGGTCGCCTCGGCAGAAGAGCCTGCTCGCGGAGATGGCACAGGGGCAGCTGCGCTAAGAGGGGTCGCAGTGCACGGAGAGGCGCGCACCCGCGAGTATTCACGAGCGGCACCGCAGTTTCCAGTGAGCGAGTGCAGTCGAGTGCCAGGTGGGCAGTTGTGCCAGAGGGGTCGCAGTGCTGCACGGCGAGGCGCGCACCCGCGAGATATTCTTATGTCGGGCGTGTCCCCCTACAGGGGGATTGTCGACGAGAAATCAAAAAGACCCAAAAAATACCCCAAGAAGGTCAAAAAATATTCAAAAAATAGTCCCCAGGCTAGTTTTGGATTATTTCTTGCTTATTCTGGGGGTATGTTTTATTTTTCGTCGAAAATCCCCCTGCAGGGGGGACAGGCCCGACTTCAGAGTGTTCACGAGTGGCACCGCAGTCTCCAGTGAGCGGGTGCAGTCGAGTGCCAGGTGGGCGCCGCCGCTCCGCCAGATCATGGCCTCAGCCTGCCTGGCGTGTGATGGGTCGCTTCGGTCACGCTCCCCTCCGACCAGCTTCAGTCAGGAGGGGAAAACCACACAGACACAATCAATCGTCGACTCCCAGAAAATATGGAAAAATATGGGAAGTGGGGGGGAAGACAGAAACCCCGAAAATATGGAAAAATATGGGGAATCGGTTTATTTGTGTGCATTTATTTGTGTGTCCCAGGGCCCCTTCATTCAAGCCTTCACGGGAGAGCCAGGGGAGAACGAGAGGGGGGCGGCGTCGGGAGTTCAGGGGAGCATAGGGATTGAGCCAGGAGGGGCGTATGGAGGGAGGGTATATGAATAGAGAGAGAGAGAGAGAGAGAAAAAAAAAAAAAAAAAAAAAAAAAAAAAAGAGAAGAAGGGAGAGTGAGGGGACAGGCAGAAGGAATGTCTGGAAGGTGGGGGGCAGGCGGAACAAGAAGGAAACCTGCAGGGCAGGGGGGTGGAAGGAGAGAGGAGTAGAGTTGGGGGAGAAGACAAGTTAGGCACATGTGCGCCATGTCCGATACCCTACCCCTCTCAAGCATCTTTTCCTGTTGCGCTGAATTCGCTTGCTGGGTGTTCGACAGAACCTTGGTACCCTGACTCAATCGTACAATACACGAACGGTGGGGGAAGAGAAGGGGGGCCCTTGCGCATTGAAGGAGGAGGAGGAGGAGAAAGGGAGGAGGAGGAGGTGGCGGATGAGCAGCCAAAAAAAAAGGAGGACGAGGCGGCGGAGGAGGAGGAGGAGGAGAAGGAGGGGGAGGAGGGGGAGGAGGACGAGGAAGATCAGCAGCAGGAGCAGGAGGGGAGGCAGGAGCATGAGGACCAGGGGAGGCGGAGGAGCGGAAAGGAGGCGGGCGGCAACGGCTGGGCAGAGAAGCGGCTTCGTGAGGCCCGCGCCGGGGCCCCGAGCGGCACTCGGAACGGCGGGGGCAGAGCGCCGATCCTTGGTGGTCCCCAAACGTGGTGGTGAGAACACCCGGTGGTGAGTTTTGGGCGATTTGGGTGATGTTTTTCGAGCGCTGGCTGGCCCAGGAAACGCAAAACCTCGTGGCGACCGCGTGTCCCCAAACCCGGTGGTGACCCAGAATTGTTTTGTTGGGGGAATCGGGGTCACCACCGGGTGTCTCACCACCTGGTTTGGAGACCACCAAGATCCTGAGATGTGGCCAGCGCTGCCGCGGGAGCACCGTGCTTGCACGGCCGAGGACGCTCCGATGGCAAAACCGATTGGGCACCACACAGTCGGGGCCCTGAGGAAGGAACCCTTTTCGTTGGGGAGGGGCTCCGTGTGCCTCGATTGCTTCACAGTTTGCCCTGGGTTTTCCTTTGGTTTTCGGTGGGAAATCGGAGTTTAACTTGTGGGAAAAAATGGCCCCGTTCCTTATTTATCGTTCCTTAGGCCAACGCCCCGACTGTACTTTATCAAACTGAGTGGAACGAACTACTTGAAGTGCAGGCCGGTGCGCCATGCGCCCGCGCCCACTGGGACCTCAGGTGGAGTTCCCCGTGGGGCCACGGCACGCGTGACCGGATGCAACGACATGGGTCCGCGGACCGCATGCGCCCGCGACCGCTGGGACCTGCGGTGGAGCTCCCTGTCGGGCCATGAAGCGTGTGATTGGCGTGCCGAAAGGGAACCGCGGACCGCATGCGCCCGCGCCCAGTGGCGAAGCTCCTTCAGAGGCCACGAAATGTCTAAGGGGTGTGTCGAATTGGGAGGCGGCCGCCACGCGAACCTTGCCATTGGGGCATTCCGTGGAGCTCCTTACGAAGCCCAGAAACGTGTGAGCGCTGTGCCGAAACGGACACGCAGCGGGCAGAGGCCAGATGGGGAGGAGAGCAGAGGCAACGAGCGGAGGGGGAGGAGGTGAGGTGAAGAAGCGCGGGGCGCCACGCATTCCAAACGAGGACTCAACACCACAACATGCGGGACTGGCGGCGCCAAACCAGCACAGCACCAGGGGAAAGAGAGAGAGAGAGAGAGATCAAAAAGAGAGAGAGGGAGAGAGAGAGAGAAGAGCCGCATTCACATCGTGAGCTTTCTGAGAGGAGGGCGGTGAGCGAGGGGAGGGGACGCGGGGGAGAGGCCGCGGTCCCTCCCCCGCCTTCCCGTCCTCCCCTGCTCCCTGCTCCCCGTCTCCCCTCCGTCCTGTCCCACCTGCTCCGGCCCGCCGGCCCTGGCCTCCCGCCTGCGCGTCCGCCGCCGCCCGGTCGCCTCTCGTTCCCCGCTCCGCCGCCAGGAGCCGCTGCGCCTGGCGACGGGTGCGCTCGTGGGCCAGGAGGAGCTCCGGGGCGACCGCATGCGCTACCGCCGCCTCTCCGGCGCCGGGCCCGACGCGGGCTGGGTCAGCGTCAGGCGCTGGGCCCCCGCTGCCGGAGGGGGGGGGGGATCCGAGGGCTGGAGGGGGAGGAGGAGGAGGAGGAGGAGGAGGAGGAGGAGGAGGAGGAGGAGGAGGAGGAGGAGGAGGAGGAGGAGGAGGAGGAGGAGGAGGAGGAGGAGGAGGAGGAGGAGGAGGAGGAGGAGGAGGAGGAGGAGGAGGAAGAGGAGGAGAAGGAGGAAGAGGAGGAGGGCTGCTGGGTTGTTTCGCTGACCCAGAAAGTCCAGATCGATTGCGCGAGTTTCCTAGGGCAGGGGCAGCCATACGCCGAAGCCAGAGGCCAGTGAAGCACGGTGGCGTTTGCAAACGTTGCTCGGGCCACTGGTCTCCGATGACAGGGTCGGGCGGAGGGGACTGAATTCAAAGTGGCCGTCGGTGGTCAAGAAAGGCCACAGTCTTGTGGAAACTGCGGAGCCGACACCACCGCGAAGGTGGTGAGACTGAAGCCGCACCGAGCCAGTCGGACTTGGAACGGCCCTGGAAACTCCCAGCGGGCGCCATGCTTTTGCGGGCACGAAGCTGTTCTTGGGCAGCCGCAGTTTGGGCTCGAGAGAGAGAGAGAGACGCGGCGCGTGCTCCCGCGCACGGCAGCAGAGCTCGCGGTCGACCCCGTGGGCTTGTTGCGAGGCCAGCGACACGACGAATGGGAGGGGAAAAAACACACAGACACAATGAATCGTCGACCCCCAGGAAAATATAGGAAAACATGGGAAGCTGGGGGGAAGACGAAAACCCAGAAAATATTATAAGATATAGGGAATTCTGGGATCTGTGTGTAATTATTTGTGTGCCCCTGGGCCCTTTAGACGGCTGAGGCGATGGGCGCCTAGTCGCGCCTTCGCGCCTCAAGCGGGCAGCAGGGCGCGCGCAGGGCGGCCGCAGACGGCCTCGCGCACCACGGCGGAACGCGAGCACGTGCGGAGGGGCCGCGGGCGCGCTGCGCATCGTATTGTAGTGGCCTCTGGCCAGTGCCGCCGATCTGGGACGTTTTCGTTGCTGCCGGAAGCGCGCGATGGCGGTCATGATCGGCGACGACGGCGAGCGGTGAGGATGATGATGATGAGGATTGGGAATGGAGGCAACGGAGGAGGAGGAGGAGGAGGAGGATCATGATGAGGTGGAGGGGGGGGAGGGGCAGGAGTAGCAGGATGCTGAGGATGAGGAGGAGCTGTAGGAAGCGGAAAGTGGAAGAGGGGGAGGGACATCGGATCGGATCGGATGTCCGCGAATGAGCTGCAGTCAGCTTCTGCCGGGGGCGTGTCGAGGGCAAGGGTCGTACGACAGGCCGCAGGCCTGCTCAAGGCAGGCCTATGCACGATCGAAGGGTCCATCTGGGGGGCCCTCCACGATACAAATCTCGTATGTGGAAGCACGAGTGAGTATGTCCACTTCGCCCATCCAAGAGCCCAATTTCGTCAGGACTGTGCCTTTCCTTCCTAATGAGCCACTATACGATTCCTATATGTTTCAATCCCGATGATTCTTCGTCATCGAATGGTTTTTGGCTTGGTTTTTTCATTTGCGACTGGCACGTTCTTCGCAATCGAATGGTTTTTGGCTTGTTTTTTTCATTTGCGACCGACAATTCTTCGCAGTCGAACCGTTTTGGCTTGTTTTTTTTGTTTTGTGCGAAAGCTGACTTCTTCGCTGTCGAATTGTTTTTGGCTTGGTTTGTTCATTTGCGAATGCTGAGACGACTGTTGTGACCTGCGAGGACGGGGATATACGCCCCGATGTTATGCTTGATGTCCCACTTTGTAAGCAGGAACGGCGGTCTGCGACCTGGATATTGGTTGATATCGTCATGTGCGTGTGGCATCGAACGATTGCTTGAGCCTTGACGTTTGCGTGGTAGCACATCGATATTTGGTATTTCTTGGATCGTCTGGGTGCTGTTCGCTGCTTTGTTGGGGGGCGGCCGGCGGGCCTGGCTGTCGCGAGCAACAGCATGATGTATGTTTAGGAATCTGTGATTTGGGGTCTCAAGAAAAAACCAGACAAAGCAGATGGTACATGTATCTTCGAACCTACGCACCTACGCACATGTATAACGCTCCGTGGGACGCATTCCTCCCTGATGGTCGTATTCATAAGTCGGACGTTCATTGATAGAGCAGGGTGCGTTCTGTGGGACGGCTCACTCGAACAAAAGCGCGCATATATGGCCGTTCTAGGACCATGGGGAGCTCCGCATGCATGCGTCCCCTGCCCCTGCTCATTCGGTTGGCTCCATCACGCGTCCCGTGCCCCATAGGGTGGTCGGCCCTGGAGCCTTGGAGGTGCCTTCGCAGATTTCCCCTGGCCACTCATCACACGTTTCGTGGGGCTCGAAGACCTCAGGGGCGGCCGCAACCTCAGCGGCACCAACGAATGCGTTCGCGTTCTCTCCGAGCCGCCTCCGCTAAGTTTACCGAGGCAGGGGCGATGGAATCAAGTGCGGCCGAATGTGGCCCCTAATTCCCCCTCCTCCCTCGCCCCGCCCGCCGGGGCGGCCGTTTTGGCTCCCCCTCAGCGTTGCTATCGCTCTGGCGCTGGGGGCCAAGTCCCGACTGGTCAGGGAGCGGCGCAGTCGAATATTGGAGATTGCGGGGCGGACGGCCAGGGGAATGGCGAGATGGAGGAGAGGAGGGAGGGTGCGAGAGGTTCTGGAAATGTGTCCGAGCACCGCTTCTTGACTGGTCGACACTGGTCCCCAGCTTTCCGCGGGCCATGGCGGCAAGAGGGGCCGACGCGAGGCAGGGCCTCCCGCTGGTCATTGCCTCGGTGACGAACCTCGGGCTCCCGAGGCGCCCTATGATTCATTCACTCCGTCTCCTGGGCCATTTCCCAAGCGTTGCACATTGAGGGGTCTGGGAGAAAACGAGCAGGGGAGAAGGGGACAATGAGGCCCCGTGATGGGGCCCCATCGTCCCCATCGTCCCCGTCGCCTCCGCCGCAAGGTCCCCTACTTGGATGTGGTGGCCCCAGTGCGTCGCACGACGCGGTCTTACCACGCTCGGTTGCCGACCCGCGAGCAGCTGGCCCGCTTGGACGGGTCCTCTTATGTTTTTCTCCACCTCCTTGGTTCCGCACGTCTTCTTACTGACAACTCCTTCGGCGCGCGTATTTCTCGCAGACGCACCGGGGGAAGTGTGAGAAGAGGTGCAGGACCCCCCCAAACCTTCCGGGCGCCCCCCTGGGAGGACTACACAGCCCTCCTGGAAGTAGCAACCGACTTGGTGGAGCAGGTCAGGGAAGCCCGAGGCGAGACACGGGTGGCCAAGAGGACCCGAGGTAGAGGAGGAGGAGGAGGAGGAGGAGGCACGAGGTAGAGTAGGAGGGGGAGGAGTAGAATGAGGAAAAACATATTTGAGGAGGAGGAGGAGGAGGAGGGGGAAAAGAAGGGGGGAAAGAGGAGGAGAAGGAGGGGGAGGAAGAGGACATGGAGGAAGAGCAAGATGGAAAGGAAGAAGACGAAAAATAAGAGGAGGAGGAGGAGGAGGAGGAGGAGGAGGAGGAGGAGGAGGAGGAGGGGGAATGCAGACTCGTTCGGGTCGTCGGCTTGGGACCCCCATCAGGACCCAATCAACGCCGATCGTTGACGCTGGGCCAGAGAACGGTTGGGTGGTTGAGCGGAATGCCAAATTTCGCCGGAAATCTTTAGACCCAGCCAAACACACGCGTTCCGTTGGGCACTTGACTGGCCGAGGGAGTATGGTGGTTGCTGTGCGCCGAAACATTGGGAATATGGCCTCAGGGAATTTGGGGTCGGCCTTGTTGGTCGACATCAGCGGCCAGACAGTGAGGCGGTGCGAGCAAGACGCAGCAGGAGAGCTCAAGGGCCCACAGGGAAACCGTAAAGCGGCGCTCTTCCTCCTCCTCTTCCTCTTTCTCCTTCCTCCTTTCCTCCCCCCTTCTATTTTATTCCCCGTTCTCCTCCTCCTCCTCCGGTCCCCGGTCCCCCCTGTTAATTGCCGCCTTCCTCTATAGGTCCATGCCCCTCTTCCGCGTCCTACTCGCCCCTCGGAACTTGAGTGTTTCTCGAGGCGTGGAGTCGACCCCGACCCCGACCCCGAAATCGATCGACGCACAGAGAAAATGGCTGATTCCTGTTCGGTTCGCGACATGCGTGCGAACCGAAGTTCAGCACATTCTTGACCAATCAAGACTGGTTGGGTCCTTCCGTCTGCCTCCCGGGATCTTGCCCCCCCCCCCAAGAGCGGCTTCTCCTACCGCCCGCAGTTTGCCCGCCCACCAACCCCTCCCGAGAGGAGCTCTGGTGGCGGGCTGGCGGCAATGGCATCGCGAACAAGAGGCTTTCTGGAGGTCGTTGAGGACAGAATCTTCACTGGCCGTCATCGCCCACAGTTTTTCGGCTGATGCTACAAACCGTTCTGTTCTTTCTGGCTCCAAAATCATGGGGTGTGAAGTCGAGTCTTTCTACATGCCATCGACGAGCGACTTGGCGATGGCTGACTGGACTCAGTGTGCCTCCAAGCGCGGCTTCGCAGATGCCCAGGTGGTGACTTGCGAGAAAACGTCAGGACCCTGGGGCCCCAAAGCGTAACCCAACGGTGTTTCCACGGCCCCCCCATGGCAGCCTGGTCTTTCCTAGATATGTCAATGCCCGTTCGTGTTCTTTCAGTGTTTCGCCCGAGGAACCCTCAACGTAATCCACAAGCAAGTGTTGGGTCTCGGCATGCCGGCGTGGACGAATTGCGCAGAATTGTCTTACACCCACACTACCGCAACTGGGTCCATTCGGGAATTTATATACACATCAGATGGAGGGTCTGACGAACAGAAGCTGAAAAAATACTTGTTTGCCATGACAACAAAGAATTTGCATGTATTGGTGTTTACGATTCCGTGCTTAATGCACGCGATGCAATTGTTTGTTAGATCTGGCTTGGCGCTCGTGGATACTTGGCTAAAAAATGAGTTGCCAGATGCCCCCATGAAGTATACGAACGGCTTCGCCGACGCATCCCCCCCCAAAAAAAAAACAATCAAATGACGCCCTTGCGCGGCGTGAGCCAAATGTCATTTTGCTACACGTCGGAACCAAAATTGAATCCATCCGCCTATCCAATCCCGGGCAAACTTTCAGCTGTTTTTGTGCGAGGATGGGAACCAGGAACACAGCGTATCCCCCAACTGGCATTCCACTGGGGAGTCATGAATAAGGGTGGGTAAAGGAGCGAGAAGAGGAGGGGGGGGATAGGGAAGAATATGAGGAGCGAGGAGGACGGCCTTTGTGGCCTTTGTGGCCTCAAGTCTCGAAGCGCTTTTGACCCCTGGGCCCCTGGGCCACTTAGGCCTTCAGGCCCACGCTGTGGTTTGCGGATTTCGCTTCCCTTTCAAAGATATGCCACGTTTGGCGAGAGAATGCAAACGCAATGTTTGTGGAGCTCGCTAACGGTGAACATCCAGGGGGTGGGCCCCGCGCGGCCATGGACCATGGCCGCTCGATGTGCCCGAGGTGCATTGCAGGGAGATGGCAATCGTGCTACAAAACTGAAGCCAAGATCGTCGGTGCTGGGCGAACATTGCTGCGACCAGTTCTCGAGGCCGTCGTGCGCAAGAGGACAATGTCCTCGAGATCGGGATCAGACGTTCTGCCAATCGCAGACGGCCGTGACAGCTTGGACCCTGCGACAGAGTCGACGGCCCAGCACCGAGAAAGGATGGGCAGGTGGAGAAAGGATGTGTTAGCAGCCGTATCGGAAAGCAAATGGTGGCATGCTCTCTGGATTCATCATCGAGTTGGCGGGGTTGTGGACCATGTCATGAATTTCCTGGGGGCCTCATACGATGACGCCAAACTTACGTCAGAAGGAAACCAGCTGTGCCAGCTGGTCAACGGCAGAGCAAGGCGATTTTTCGACGAGTTGAACCAGTTGTTGCAAAACCCTCGATTGTTTCGCATCGGTGAGTGTGGGGATGTGGATGCCCAAAGTTCAATGTGCGCCTTGGCAATATTACTGACAGGTCACCACGCAGCGAGCTTCAAGAGGAGGGTCTTGGATACGATCGTTACTTGGCCACTGAAATTTGCTCTCTTCGCCGCGTCGCACTTCAGCGTGCAGTGCAGCGTTCGGCAAGGAGATCTTTGCAAACAAAAACTGAAGGGGGTGGGAGGAGGAGGATGAGGAGGAGGAGGAGGAGGAGGATACCACCACCATCCACCCGACCAAAGGAGCAGCAAAAGAGGTGCTCGGTGAGAGCCTTGCGTTGCTGGACATCACAAGCCGCAAAATTGTACAGTTGTTCCGGCGCGCGTTGGAGCAGGCCGCTGCCGATGGGACGACGAGTTCCGAGCTGTATGCGGTTTGCCTCCCCTTGAAGCTCAAGGCCAAGGCCCGCGGGGCCTCGTCAATTGGGCAAATCCACAAAATCTGGCGTTGTTCCAGGGGCCCCGAGATTCCAGAAATCATCAGTCAAGATTTCAAACCCCCCCCCTTAGATGCCGAATGAAGTAGGAAGGAGAATTCGAGCTTGAATACTGAGGAGAAAGATTTCCAGGCCCCGCTCCTCCTCCTCATACCCCCCCCTCCTCCTCTTCCTCCTCCTCCTCCAAAGGGGCGTGAACGGACAGGCAGACGTCGTCGCGCGCGCAATGCATCAGTCACGATTGGCCGTTGGGGCCCGTGGTTCGCCAGCGCGCGCTACGGGAGCTGCGACGCATCAGTCGCGTTTTGTTGTGTGGGGCCCGCGATTCGCCAGCGAAAGTTGGCGTCAATATCTCCGGAGAATGGCAGCCAGAGGAACCGCGCATGCGTGTCTTTCAAAGCCCGGTTACGACGTGAACGGCTCCCGCTCTATGTTTCCCCACAACGTATTCAGAGAGGCTTGAGGCCGTCGAACTCGGGAACGGCGCGCTCTCTCTCTCTCTCTCTCTCTCTCTTTCTCTCTTTTGTTTGTTTGTTTGTTCGTTTGTTTGTTTTTCTCTATATTATAATACTCTCTCTCTTTCTTTCTCTCTCTCTCTATCTCTCTCCCTATCTCCCCCTTTTTTCCGCTGCCCCTCTCGGCGCGTTATGCGTGCACATCTCGATCAACGCAGAGTAGCCATGCATCATGCACCACGCAAGCTCGGACTCCTATGCAAAAGTGCAACGCAGTGTAGTCGCCCAGCCCAGGTGCGGGGAGGAGGACAAGGAGGTTTCTTGAAGGAGAAGGACGAGGAGGCGGGGGAGGAGGGGGAGGAGGAGGAGGAGGGAGGGCGAGGAGGAGGAGGGGAAGGAGGAGGAGGACGGAGGAGGAGGAGCGGTCAAGGAGGACGAGGACAAGGTGGAACAGGGCAGACGTTTGTCAAGCGATTCTGTGCATCGCCCCGCACCTGCCGAGCGTCCTCCACGTCCCTGGGGTGCCCCTGCCCCTCCCCTTTTGACTCAACTCTCATTCCTCTTTTGCCCTCTCGCTCTGTGATGCCCCGCGCATCACCACCCCCCGAAGGAGAGAACAGGGGGCAAGAGGGCGAGGGGGGCAGGTGGGGAATCTAGGGCGATTGAGGAAGATGAAGAGGAGGATGAGTAGGAGCTCGAGTTTTTTTCTGTTGAGCCAAGGCTGATATCCGGTGCAATGAGTCGTACAATAATTTGTTGAAAAACATATGCGACGCGTGCCCATCCATTGGCCTGCCGCTCCTGTCACCCAGAGCGGCGGTGAAAAAAATGCTTGGCCTCGGCACGCGGGGTGTTTCTCACAGGTGGTGCAATCTTTCAAAGCGAGCCGAAGGTTTGTTGGAGCAGTTGGTCGAACACGAGCCTCTCGCTGGCGTTGTTGTGAAAGAGTCAGATCGTTGGAGTTCCCCTGCGCCTCACGTGCCAGTGCCTCCAGATGCAGACCTGGCGCGCCTGATGCGCGAATGTTTCCCGAAACTCGTTCCAAGCCCGCCTGACCGGTGGGCGTCAGTCTTCAGACTTTTGCTCGGAAAATCTATATCGCCAGATGCGACGCAAGGCTATTGTGTGAATCGACGGCCTGGCAAGATCACTCTCTCAATGACAGCTGGAGACGAATTGTGGATCTGCGTGGAGAAGAATTACAGTACTGGGCAATTCATCCGCTGCACCACTGCGGCCGCTGACAACAATGAGATCCACGCGTGGCTGGCCAATCCATTAGAAATGAGATCATCTGGTGAGATCATACTGCCGCACTATGATGATATCCAGATCCGAAAACAAGTGAAAGCTATGACGAGTCACGCCATGAAGTGGGAACTTGACGTTTCGCAGCCATCACCTGCTTTTCGGGCAACCATCCAGAAGAGGGGCATCGTCGTTTTGCAGTTGAAGCACCACGTACCTAGGAAGCCTAAACAACGGCCAAATCCAGAAGATATGGGCCCTCACCCTGTCGACGATCAAGCTGGTCCAAATGGAGAGGCAGAGGCCCCCGCTGCGGGGGCCCCCGCTGGCAGCGCTGCCGACGCTGGGCCCGATCCAGACTTGCGTTCTCTCTCCGTGGATGAGAACGGCGATGCCGTTTACCACGACCCAGAGGTGATGGAAGCGTTGGCCAGGGCCCTGCTTTTGGAGGAGGCCGGGCCAGACGAGGCAGAGGAATCATTTGACGAGTGGAGGGAACAAGACGCGAAGGACACGGACCAGGACATCTGTTTGGGAACGCACGCGCGCCCACGCCCCAAAATTGGTTTGGAAATTCTTGACGTTTCGCGTATCCCCGCCATCCCAATCAGAAACGATGCCTTAACGAGCGGCCCTGATCTGGGAAGTGGGGGAGCCTGCAGAAGAACGAAGGGCGGGGGAAGCCGTCGTACCCTAAGAGGGGGAGAAGGCGGAGAAGGCTAACGAGGAGGAAGAGGAGAAGGACGAGGACGAGTAAGAGGGAGAGGAGGAGGAGGAGGAGGAGGAGGAGGTGGAGGAGGAGGGGGTGGAACATGAGGTGGAGGAGGGCGAGGATGAGGATGAGGGGGACGAGGGCGAGGACGAGGAGAAGAGGCAGAAGAGCGAGCAGAAGGGCCAGATGCCTTTTGAATGCCTGTCGCATGGAAACTTTTTGGATGCCTCTTAGAGCGTCTCTGAGGCCTCTTGGCGTCCCCGGGTCCCGGGGGCCTCTTCTTGGAGCGTCTTGGGTGCCTCGGGGAGCAGCTTGGGGCCTCTTGGCGGTATCGTGGGAGAGTCTTCTTGGCGCCTCCTGGGCGCCTCTTGGGGCCTCCTGGGCGTCTCTTGGGGCCCTCTTCAGGCGCTCTTGGGAGCCGTGGAGGCGCCTCTGGGGCCATCTTGTAGGAGACCGTTCAACGAAGGAGGATTCCCTGGTAAGTGTTGCCCCTTCGGGGGCCACGATCTTCGCGGGGG